GATGGGCTTCACCAGAGAGGCAACTTTCTTGAGGATTTGGAGGGCATCGCTGGCCCGCGGAAAGTCCACCAAGTGGGAGTATGAGAGAATGAGTGCATCATGTTCAGGCATGTTGGCTGTATTTTTGCCCGCGGCCGGGTCAAAAACGTGGTATGTCCGCAATGTTGTGTAAGCCGAAGATGGAGTGACGTCGGTGAAGGTTTTCAGGGACGCCGCCCGCAGAGAAGCAGTAAAGGAGACAAGGAGAGTCAGGAAAGAGAAAACAGCAGGGGTATCGAATGGAAAGCGATGCACATCGCCGAAAGGTGTATAGAACCGCCCAGAAAGAGAGTCATTCGCATCGTAAGCAGTGGGCGACACGCACGAAGACGCGTAAGGCTTGATGCCTCCCGGTGATAAGGCGTTGGTGGCCAGCAAGGCAGTGTAGCTTGGCGATGAATGTTGGGCAGGTGACTCGCGCTTTCCAGCTCACAAAAACCCAGGCGGGGGCGGGGTGCTTGATGACTCAGCTTCAGCTGCTGCGGGCAGGAACCTTCAGGGCAGGCGGGCAGTGACATGCTCTCCCTCCCGCCTTCCGCCTTCGGGTGGTCGATTCAGCTGTCAAATCTGGAAGAGGCGTTGACTTTGTCACCTTACCCATGAACCAACTTTGTCGACGAACCCTGAATCACCAAAATTCCAGTCACCATTGGCCGGCTGACCGAGCCACGCAGCGGAATGGTGGAAGCCCGGAAAACCTGATGTGGTGCAGCCAGATGTTGGACAAAACAGGGCAGAGATGTCTTGCAGAGATTAACTCGCAGCGATCTGCCGCGCCAAGTGACTACACCATCGGTTCGCTTGCGCTTACTTCAAATCCGACGACCTCCCTTCGACAACTAATTCCTTGAATGCCGACTTGGCATCGGGAAACTGGGCCGGCGCCGGTTCAGATGACCATTTACTTAAGGACAACATTCCAGCTCGTGTCTGGATCTTCCGTGCGGCAGTTGCCGACTGTGAAACCTTGTTGTGCCATCAAGTAACCTCACGTCTGCCAACTTTTCCAACCTTGGAATTTGCGCAGCTTTTCTTCCAAGTTGGAAGAGGACCAAATCCCAACTGGGCATACCATCTGAGTGGCCAAGTATTTGTCCAAGTCAGACGAGCTGATGATGTTCAGGACGGAGACGCTGTTTCAGCAATGCATGAATCCCGCCCGCATCCCGACCGGCACCCCCATTGGGCTTTCCGTTCACCGGTCACATTAAACTTTGCTCCGACGCTCTCAATCCTGACATGGACAAACCACTATCAAAAACGCCTATTTTTCGTCGCATCTCGCCAGCAACTTCAGATGATGGGTCTCGTCGCTGAGAACCCCGAAACGACGGGTTCACGAAGGTCGGTTACGGAGCCGGAGACGCATCCCCTTTAAGTGAACCCTCCCATGACGCCTCCCGTGACGACTCCGGAAGTTCGGCATCACGACTTGGTCAGCTTTGCGGACAGGGGTCGCATGCCCGACTCACAGTGTTTCGGAAGCCAAGCATACGGCCATCACACCGGGCCGCCGTCTTCAGAAGACAGTGCCCGCGAAGAATCTATTCGAGATGGCATGCCTGATCGACTGTCGCAGGTTGTCTACGGATGCGCCTCTTCAATGGCGGTCGACCCGGTCTCCTACCAGTAAAACTCGAACCATTCTGTACCCCTAGTCTCTCGTCTCCGCAGACATGGCGGATTCTTCTTTTCTATTTGCGATTCGTAATCGCTTGGGTTGAGATCTCCCACTTGCGACTGCGCAATCGCGCATTTCGAAACGGTCTCCCCGAAGCTGATCTATGCGTGGGCAAGATGGAGAGTCACACTTGGCAAAAGCTTGTGTGCATATCTTCCCTTGGCTCTCCGCAATTCAAGCATTGTTGGTTCCATGCTTCCTTCTGCTTAGACGACTTCTTCTCTTTTCGCTTGTTTCCCGTATAGAGCTCCGTGAGCCTTATTCGCCCGGCTTCATTCCTTCGCCAGGCCTTCTCTTCTCTAGGTGACCATGCGGTTCGCCAACTCGGCTGCGATTGCAGCATTCATTCCATTCTTTGCCCATCTTGTTGATGCGGCTCCTTCAAAGAAGTCCGATATCTCCAGGTTTGAGATTTCCACTCTAGGTGGCGGGGCTTTCCGGATAGAACAGGTTCCCAACCCCGATTTTTACTATGGAAATCGACGAGGACCCATTGCCCTGGCCAGAGCCTATTCCAAGTTCAACCATCCCATTCCGGATGATCTACTAGGTCTCATTGATCAGATTTTGGGAGAACTAGGCCTGTTGAACGGATCGAAAGGCGGACACAAAGGAGGAAAGGGAAAGGGAAATGGGAGTGGGAAGGGTGGTAACAACGGCTCTGGAGGCTCAAAGGGCAACGGCACAACCACAACGCCGGGAGCGGGAGGCAATGGCACCACAGGAAATGGTCAGTTTGCAACTCTATATGTGCCTAAACTATGCTGATGGTCATTAGGTGGTGAGGTCGCCGCCATCCCGGCCCAGTTCGACAGCCAGTACCTCTGCCCGGTACAAATTGGCACACCTCCTCAGACCCTGAATCTCAACTTCGACACCGGCTCGTCCGACTTGTGGGTGTTCAGCAGTGAGACGCCCGCAAGTCAAGTAGGGGGCCAAACGATCTACAAGATCAAGGACAGTTCAACCGCCAAGGCTGTGACTGGCGCGACATGGTCCATCTCGTACGGTGACGGCAGCTCATCCAGCGGTTCCGTCTACACGGACAAGGTGACCATCGGCGGGGTCACAGTCGACAGCCAGGCCATTGAGTCTGCCAATACAGTCTCGGCATCCTTCACCAGCAATCAGAACCAGTCAGGACTCGTTGGTCTGGCCTTTGGAACCATTAACACGGTCACACCCACCAAGCAGAAGACGTTCTTCGAGAATGCCTTGAACAACCTCGCAATGCCGCTGTTCACAGCCAACCTCAAGAAGGGCGCAGGTATTCGAAACCTCTCTCCAATCATCAAGTTCGCGAACTAATCATCCCAACAGCTGGTAACTACAACTTTGGCTACATCGATACGACAGAGTTCACCGGCGACATCGCCTTCGTCCCGGCCAACACAACCCAGGGTTTCTGGCAATTCACCGCCCAAGGCTTCTCCGTCGGCTCAAACGGCAGCGCCGCAACCTCCGCACCTCACCAAGCCATCGCCGACACGGGCACGACCCTGATGCTCCTCCCAGATAACATCGTCTCGGCGTATTACAAGAACATCGCCAGCGCCCAGTTCGACAACACCAACGGCGGCTACGTCTTCAACTGTAAGGACTCGATCCCGTCCTTCACCGTCGATATGGGCACCTACAAGGGCGTGGTGCCCGGCGAGTTCATCAAGTTCGCCCCCGTCGACGGCCAGACTATTGAGACGTCGACGACGTGCTTCGGCGGGATCCAGAGCGCGGCGACGCTGCCCTTCGCGATCTACGGCGATGTGTTCCTGAAGAGTCAATTTGTCGTCTTTAGTTCGAAAAGCGGAACCAACGAGCTTGGATTTGCGAACAAGCCGTTGTGATAGACCATAGACCATGATATAGCAGTCGGGCAAGGCATCGCGAATAGCTGGGTGCCCCGGCATAGATGGTGCTGTTTGGATGGGTTATGGATCGTTCTCACCACATGTCAACGAAATGTTACGACAGCGTTCAGGTTTGAAGATAGATACAGAAATAAACATACATAATGTTGCCTATCTGCTACTGTCCACTACCCCGCTGTCTCATCGTCGACCACTTGAACCATTACTTACGTTAATGCCAATCCCGATGCCACAAAGCCCTGCAGAAGCACTCTTCAAGTCAGCTTCCATAGCGTATATGTAACGGTGCAGCCTGGGATCGGATATGACGATCAGGCAACCAATGAGCTCTCTTTCACTTTTTTCTTTCATTAAACAATGATCACGAGCTCTGTTCAGCAGCCACCAGATATTTATGACAGAACATTACAACTTCGAGATCGAACCCTTGCTCTTGAAATCTGTCGTCCGCCAACAGATTCGTCGTATTCTTCCTCAATAAATTCGGAATACCTAGACAGTTCGCAATGCCTTCATACGCAGGACGGCGGCAAGGCTTGGTACTTAAGAAAGTCTACACGTATCGATATTTTGACAACGGAATGTGGTCCCTTTCCAACGGGAGTCAACGTAGGCTTGAATTTGTTTGCCGATTATGGCTTAGATAACGTCCATCCTTCTTATTTAACAATCTCGATCGCAATGAACGGCAGAAGAAAGCTCTCTCCTATTGCAAGGCTCAGTATCTGGTCAGCTTGTTCCAGCGGCTCATTGAGTGGGAAAGCCTCTGGGCTTGTTCATCTGCTTTTAGACTATGTGAATGTTGATTGTGAACACGTTCATGTCTTGCGGCAAAATTGTTCGGAGGTTGCATCAGCTTCTATCGACGACAGGACTTCCACCACACGCCAGACATCCTCGACCGACGTTGTCGTCGCGAGATTTGCCTCAGTCCCCTTGCCAACGCCCGGCCGTTCTCGTTGTGTATATGAGGAATCCTTTGGTAGATGACATGAAGTCTCAAAACAACAATGTGAAAGGATTCCGTCAAAGCATTGATCTCCATACTTTCGAGTCGTGTCTGGAGTCTCACCGCCTTGAGGGCAGAGAAGAGTGTGAATCTGGGCATGTTCTCGGGGATGAACTTCGATTCATAATCTCTCCTTATGTATTCAGCCGGTTGTTCCAAAGACAGAGACCATGCGGGATGGTACATCGTCGTTATGCGGTGGCAATCGGTTTGCTCAACAGTTATCTCACTGGTACGGGCTGTAGACAAAAGATTTGGCCCGGAGAAGTACCTGACAATTCCTGGTGGCAGAGAGTGCCCTCTTCCATCTTTGATTTTGATACATTTGGCCCATACCAGTTTAAAATACATCTTCAAGCCCTAATTTGGCCTTTGGTGTTCTTACGAAGGGTGCAGTCTTCAGTCAGTCCCCAACGGTGTGTCCACCAATCTGACACCGGTCGTCGAAGGCACTATCACATACCTAGTCAGCATTTCTCCGACTCTTTTCAGTTTCCCGGACACGTAGACTGACCCATTCGACACAACCCAAGAAGCTTCCTGGTCGAAATCGTAGGCTTGGCTGTTGCACTGAGCGCGCCCGTTGGCAGTAAAGTAGCCAATACACTCGGAGAGGCCGCCGGCGCTGCACTTGACGTCGTCGTCGTACCGCGCGGCGTTTTTGCAGACTTCCTCGCAGCTGTGGGCGTACGTCGAGGTCGTGCAGCAGTGGGACCCGTCCGTGAACTTGCACTGGCAGTAGTCGCAGGCATGTACCGCCAATGCCACGGCTAACATGGCAAGGACGGATGGGATGAGGCGCACCATGGTGAGATCTCGGTCGAAACGGGATCTTTGAGGGAAGTGAGGTGGGCGAACGTAGAGATAGACTGGTTGTTTTGAAGAGGTGCATCGAGTCTGTGGTCTACAGTAGCTACGGGATCTCTTTCGGCGGCGTGGTGCATACATTCTTATATATCCAGGTAGCAAATACTGCTTTTCGTATTCTATACGTCGTGGTTAACATCACGAAGTGGCGCGTCCGGTGTTACTTGCTATGCTTCTCGTTTCGAGTCATGTTGATGCTTGTCCGTCTCTCGGATTTGCCCCAAATTCTTCAACTTCTGGAAAGAGGCAGTATTCGGCACAATGTGGGGAAGAAACAACCCCAAAGGAACAGCCGCACGAGCACGTGGGAGAGATGTTGGTCTGTATCGACTGGGAATGAATGTTGAAGCCCGCAAGCCAATAGTTCCAGTAACGTAACAACAATGTTCATTAGGATGAGCAGAAACGTGTTGACGGAGTCATTTGCACCTTGGACTTGGTCAGACCAAGCACGTGCCTTGAAATTGTGAGCCGCGGGAAGAATTGGCGATTTTTGACCTGCGGTTGTCCGTGGAGTGTGATGTGAAGCGTCATTCCGAGCCGGCGCGGCAATGATGACACATTTGAGGAATCTCTTGGATTGAATTGCATATGCGAAGCTGCTGGCTCTACTCTTGCAGCCATGGAAGGTGCAGTATATCCCTACTGGCCTTTACCTCGACCACCTGCAACACCCCAACCTAGTCTGTCCTGCTGCCACATTTCCCGAAAGCCCAAGTCTGTAGTGCGCGCAAGTCTTGATGATAGACGCTAGACGAGCCCCCTCCGCCAACCAACGCCAATGCCTGCCTGCCCCCGGTGACCGCTCTATTTCTGACTGTTCAAGAAACTGAGATACGAGTTCCACCCGATGCTGATGACGTTGACGAACAGTACCCGGTGGTGGAGAGGGACCAGCTTGAAGTTGACCATCTGCACAAAGGGCCAGAGCATGTAGTTGGAGGTGAGCGCCGTCGTGTAGCTCTTCTCGAGCTTCTCCTGGGGAGGGACGCCCTCGAGGACGGCCATGGAGGACAGGAAGACGCCGATCATTACCGGGGCGAAGACGCCCTGGTCGACACCCACGCGGGCGAGGATCTCGAGGTTCTTATTGCGGAGGACGACGTTGTTCTGGAGGAACTTGAACCAGGTCGTGGCAGCGGGGCCGAAGATGGCTGGTGAAGTCAGCATGGGCTTGCTCATCCAGAGGTCTCGCTCAGGAGCAGGGAATCGAACTCACTTCCACCGTAGAGGGCCATGCGGCCGGTGCGAGCCCACTCATGCTTCTCGAGGCCGCGCTTCTCGACGAGCTGCTGGGCGGTGAGGTCACCGGTGGCGAAGAGGATGGCGGTGGTGATGCTCTGGGTGAGCAGCGGGCGGGCCGCAAGTCGTGCTTGATACCTGTGGAGACAGTCAGTGATGTGATTCAGCGATATCAGTATTGAAATGAGGCTCACCAGCCGAGCATTGTGAAGGTCGTTGGAGATTGGTGGAAAAACCGAGCTGATTGGGCTGGATTTAGGGGTTCGATCCAGTTGAAAAGCGATGAAAGAAAAAAAGACGCCTAACACAATGTGGGAACTTTGATCAAAGCCACAGAAAGAAACAGGTCGTGAGCGAGTGAATTGAGGCTGGGCGATGTGAATTGGTCGGTTTGGGAGGGTGAGAGGTGAGAGGCGCGCTTCAAGATTTGGAGGGTGCTGCCCCAGCAAGGAAGGTGGACAACGATCGGTAGCTTCTGTTTGCTGCACGTGACGGCAAAGCTCTTTCTATCTGGCTTGAATGGAATGGTGCAATCACAAGGACAGGCGAAAATCAATGGGAATCTAGAACATCTGGAAAAAGAAACGACTTTGATCTGACGGTGAGGCGGAAAACTCTGGTTTAAGATCCTGCCCAAGACTCAGGGAATATAGGATTTATTACTCGGGCCGTCGCGATAAGGGACTTTTCCTTGTCTCGCAGCCAGATGCTGGATTGGCCACGAGTCGGGATTTCCAAAAGCAGATCTCCGTCTCAGCGCGTAATGCAATACTCGGGGTCATGTTCCATCTGGCCAGTCTTCCCCGAAGCCCCACGATGTCCATATCCACAATCTGGGGTGCAGGAATGAGGTTTGGCTCAGTGATCATTCCCAAGCTTTTTCATCCCATTCCGCAGTTTGATCTTTGGAGTTGGCTCTGTCCGTGGTCGATGAGAAAGGAGTCAGTCAATCGTGAAAATCTAGGTACAATCAGACGAAGAGGCAGAAACTATTGACAGGCAAACGACGACCGCTTTTTCGACCTGGTTGTCGCTGCCAGACGCGTCTCGGGCTCGGGGCTTTGCTGACTTCCGCACGCCCAAGGTGACGGACTCGCTTGCCAGACTTCAGTGCTCAATTAACGATTTCCTATCACAGCTCAACAATGTTGCCTTGGGGTCGAAGACAACACCTGTCGTGGGTTCACCGATAAGCTCTGAACACCTTCCTTTGACACCAGCACGGATGCAAAATCTCAGCCCAGGGGTCTACGTCTTCTTCATACCGCTGCGCGAGGCAACGACCACAATGAAAACGATGGATATATCAAAAATTGCACCCACGATGGCCCCAAAGGGCAATCGAGAGAGGTCGACTCCGCGATGTGCAATGCAGGCCTCCCTCTCTGCCGCCCGGGTTTCTTGATCCCCAGACGGCCAGATAAGGTAAGTATGGAGAAAAAGAAGAAGCGAAAAGTTTTTGAAAAGTTGGGAGACTGGCGAGGGTTATATAGATTTTCGCGAGTGGCCCGCAATCAGTAAATCGGTACGTACCATGGCTGCCTGAGGTGCGGGTGAGGCCTGCCAGGCTACGCCCATCTCCTGCCTGAGGTACGTAGGCAAGCGAGAGGCAAGAGGCAAGCGATAGGTTACCTAGAGCCGGTGTGTAAGAGAAGGTGCAAGAAGCTGGTGCCTGGTTTGCCGTGTCAAATGACCCTAAAAGCTAGATAGAGAGGGCGGCAGGAGCTTTCCTAGAGCCGGGCAGGGGTTGAAGATGGAAGGCACGTATCTCGTGATGACTTCTCAGGCTGCTTGGGAAGGACGCAACGGACGGCGCACCTCCCTCAACCACTTACATCAAGGATGGCAGTCCATCTACAATACGAAAGGGGGTTCATTGAGCCAGTATATCCAGGCTCGTTCGTTTGTGACATTGAGATGGGTGAATGAAATCGCCTGTAGACCACAGATAAGTATTAGCAGCTTAATGGTCGGGGCACCTCGTCGGTGGTCGTCGCCATTGCGGCTCATTGGGAGCTGCGAACCCCGCGCCAGTCTCGGTGTGGCCAATGAGCTCTGGTAGTGGGGAAGATGAGGAGAAACTCCGGGCGATGGGGAGTGGTAAGGTAGATCTAACAAGAACAAACCGACTTCATTCTTGGAACGATAAGTCCGGCATAGGTGATTAGGACCCATGAGCACATAGTGCTACGTCGACAGAATCACAGTTCACACAACGACGTTGAGCGCACCTTCTCTTATCGTCGACTACCGCGGGAGTCTCCTCGGGTGGGTTCTGACCTTCTCATCAACTCCACCATACTACCAAGCAGGGCCGGGATCCTTCGGGGGCACCCTCGGAGCCGCTGCAACGTTGCAAGCCGCACCTAGTGCATGAGTATCTATCCTGCGGCTCTTGACATCTCGGTGGTCGCATTCAGCATACTTCGTACATTTAGTTGATTAGGATTCAAGACCACCTCTTGTGTGACCTTCTAGGACCAGAGCATTATCCAACGATGACAACCTCAAACCTGCTCGAACGCCTCAACCGCGATGGCTTCGTTGTTGTTCCCTCGATTCTCTCCGAGGGACAGCTCGCAAAGCTCCGGGAGGCAACCCAAGCAGCTACGGCGCTGGCCCGGGCCGGCAAATGGCCCAATGTGCGCACACTCCCGAAGCAGTTTCCGCCATGGCCGCTCGCCGGCCCTGAGCCGCCTGCGGAGGGCATCTGGGGCGTGCAGGGAATGATGCACCCGGACATGCCCAACAACGATGTCTTCATCCGAACCTATTTCTCCGATGCTGTCATTGAGCCAACCAAGCAGCTCTTGCAGTGCACTGACGATGACCTCGTCATGGAGCTCTTCAACTTGCTCATCCGGCCGGACCACGATTTCGAGCTGCGATGGCATCGGGACGATATCCCGGCGACGGCCACTGCTGACGAGGAGCTTGATCGTCTCAATAAGCCAGCCTATTCAGCGCAGTGGAACCTCGCCTTGTATGACGACGCTAGCCTTATCGTTGTGCCTGGATCACACACCAGAGCCAGGACGGACGTGGAGCGCAACGCGGATCCATACGAGAAGGAGATTCCGAACCAGCTGCTGGTGGAGCTCAAGGCGGGAGACATTGTGTTCTACAACAACAATATTCTACATCGAGGGGCCTACGTTGCTAGCAAGGAGCGAATGACACTCCACGGAAGCGCCGGTCATGTGAACGGTAGCACTCTGCGGGCGCGTAATGTATTGCAACACGGACTGAAGGGCTGGGCAGATAAGATTGACCTCGGTGTGCTGGACGAGAAGGAGCGGGCTCGGGCTGAAAACATGCGGAGAATGCTTGTCAAGCTGGGCCAGGAAGCGGGGGAGGTGGGATATTCCCTCGAGGGGTAGGAGAGATGAAGAGATAATGGATCGTCTTACAAGACAATGTGCCGAGTCCATGCAAGTAATGCTGCACTTCCAAGGACGAGAGACTGGGTTGTGTTGGAGACGACCAGCGGTGTGTCACAGCTAGCCGGGCGGTGACTTGGAATTGCGCGAGTGTTGGTCATGCACAATCGGCGCTTATAATCCCGTGACCGTCTAATATGAGTCCATCCGCAACAACAGTAGAAAGGAGAGCAGGTTCGGTGAGAGGTTCTGGAACAAACACTCGCGTCATTCCTCCAGAATCAACAATCGCTGCCGTATTCCAGACTGAACGTTGTTTCATCCCAAGCTCAACAGCAATTTACACAGCGCTTAGAAGGGCCCGGCAGAAAGGCGAAAGTGGTCTGTGCGCTGGTGTGATGCCTAAGTAACCAGGTATCTGTGGATGTGAGCTTTTCCCGTTCTGCGGCCAAATCCGGGTTTGCCAACCATCAACCGACTCTGTCGGCATCAGCCTCAAATCTCCTCAACCACCTCCTAAAACACCGTCACCTCTCCCGATCGCTCGATATCCGTACCACTGGCGACAATGTTGCCCTCATCGGTGCGGCGCGTGGTCGCCTCGGCCCCTCAGTCGCCCCTCGTCTCCTCCCTCAGCACCTCCGCTCCGAGAGCGGCTGCGACCTTCAACCTCCAACAGGTCCAGAGACCCGGTGGCCACCAGAGACGATGGTCCTCTTCGAGTCCCTCGAGTCCGAACAACAACGGCTCCAAGGAGACACCCGCCGGCCAGAACGTCCACGCCTCGGCATCGAGCTCGAACGCCAAGGCCAGCGGCGAGAAGCGGAAACGGAAGAGCAAGGACAGCGCCAACAGAGATGCTGCGCAAAAGCTGCCCAGCGTGCCTAGCACACAACACCTGTCGCAAGAGGGTATGTCTTAAGTCTGAGCTGGTATCAATATGGATCATACTGACTGGTTGCCCGCAGCCCTGGGACTGTCCACCTTCTTCTCCCTCCACCGGCCGATATCAGTGACCCACAGCATGCCCAAGAGTGTCACCGAAGAGGCTTTCGCCGCCATTTTCAAGCCTCGAACCCGCGCCAACAAGACCACCGATGTCATCAACACGCTATCAAGGACGGCCGACGATATCGAGGGCGCTATGGCGAAGATGACCGTCACAAACCAGGAGGTCGATGCGTCAGGCGAGCCTGTCCAGAAGATTGACCTCAAGCACGCCGACGGCAGCGAGTCGAGCGTCTATGTCCAGCTGAATGCCATGGCCGGACAATTCGTTCCCTTCCGCCCTCCCCCAGCGCCTCAGCAGGAGGGTGTCACCGATGTCCACGCCGAGACCGCCGTTGAGGACGTAGTTGACGATGCCCCCCACCACCGCGTCTACAAGGCCATGTTCACGATCGAGGAGAGCACCGACGCCGACGGACAGATTCAGGTCCTTGCCCACAGCCCCAAGATTATGAACGAGGAGGCCCCGCGCTCGTTCCTCGAGCGCATGGCCCAGCGCCAGATGAGATTCGACGAGGCGCAAGGCAACGACACCATGCACGCCCTTAGTGTTAGACGTCAGCGCAAGCTCAAGATGAAGAAGCACAAGTACAAGAAGCTGATGAGGCGCACGCGCAACCTGCGTCGCAAGCTAGACAGAATATAAGCCGGTGGTGGCTGTATATACAAGCCCACGGTTTTCTTCACTTTTCTTCTTACGCATTTCGGGAAATGGGTCTCTCATAATTGGTGTTCGGCCTAGCATAAACACTGTCTCCTTTTTCCTTGGTCATCATTACGACTACATAGAAAGCGAGAGACAGCCTTTGCATCAGATAGCAATGATGAACTGTTGCATCACTCATGACGACGCCGTGTCCCCAAGAGAGACTCAGAGCCTGCTCAACGCCAAAGACATCCTGTAACAACAAGAAGTGTATTAGTAGCTACATGAGAGAAGGAGGGAATTCACGGCTTCAAGATTCTCATGACTTGCTCCTTATCTTGAGCAATCGTACGTGACTTGGGTGGTGATCTTACCAGGCGTGGCTGGTCACGCAGTAGTGGGGTGGTCCTAGCGGGAAAACTTGCTGCACCCCACCACCAGTGTCCACCAGCGAGCTGACCGCCCGGCAGAAAATGTTCTCTCCGCCAAATTTTTGGTTTCCTTAAGGTCTGCGACGCCCGTGAGTTTGCGCCTAGTACAGCAAATCCGACCTGTCCCCCTCTGCAACCTCACGCCGTCTGCAAGCTTCTCAAGATGTCGACGCGCAAGGCAGTGTAAGTTGTGAGGCTCCATATACCTTTGCGATCAAATTGCTCACCCATTACTACAGAGATCAGCGGATTCCCGCTCTCATTCGCAATGGCATCCAGGAGAAGAAGCGCAGCTTCTTCGTGGTTGTCGGTGACCGTTCCAAGGATGTCATAGTTCACCTTCACTACATCATGTCCCAAGCGGACATCAAGCAGAACAAGTCTGTCTTGTGGGCATACAAGAACAAGCTTCTCGGCTTCACCAGGTAGAATTGCTCGACGCGCTTACAAGAAAGCCAGCTGACAAAGTTCTCGCCAGTCACCGCAAGAAGCGCGAGACCAAGATCAAGAAAGAAATCAAGCGAGGCATCCGCGAAGCCAACAACGAGGACCCCTTCGAGCTCTTCGTTTCCCTCCACAACATCCGATACGTCTACTACAAGGAGACCGAGAAGGTACTGGGAAACACCTTCGGCATGTGCATTCTGCAAGACTTCGAGGCCATGACACCCAACATCCTCGCCAGGACGATCGAGACGGTTGAGGGAGGTGGTCTGGTGGTTCTTTTGCTCAAGGGCATGAGCAGCTTGAAGCAGCTGTACACCATGTCTATGGACATCCACTCGAGATACCGTACCGAGGCTCACGACGATGTTGTTGCCCGCTTCAACGAGCGCTTCATTCTGTCGCTGGGCAGCTGTGACTCCTGCTTGGTCATTGACGACGAGCTGAACGTCTTGCCCATTTCCGGCGGTAAGAGCGTCAAGGCTTTGCCAGCAGCGGAGAACGACCAGCCCAAGACGGCCGCACAGATGGAGCTGGAGGAGATGAAGGAGTCACTTCAAGATACCCAACCAGTCGGCTCCCTGGTTACCCTGGCGAAGACGGTCGATCAGGCCAAGGCGCTTTTGACTTTTGTGGATGCCATCGCGGAGAAAACTTTGAGAAGTACAGTGACTCTTACGGCCGCCAGAGGTCGTGGAAAGTCTGCTGCCATGGGTGTGGCTGTTGCGGCTGCTGTTGCCCACGGCTACAGCAACATCTTCATCACTTCTCCCTCACCCGAGAACTTGAAGACGCTGTTCGAGTTCGTCTTCAAGGGCTTCGATGCGCTCGGCTACGCGGACCACGCCGACTACTCGATTATCCAGTCCACGAACCCCGACTTCAACAAGGCCATTGTCAGAGTCAACATCCACCGCGCCCACCGTCAGACTATTCAGTACATCAGGCCACAGGATGCGCACGTTCTTGGACAGGCTGAGCTCGTCGTCATCGATGAGGCCGCTGCCATCCCTCTGCCTCTGGTGCGCAAGCTGATGGGCCCCTACCTCGTCTTCATGGCGTCCACCATCAACGGTTACGAAGGAACAGGTCGTTCGCTGTCCCTGAAGCTCATCAAGCAGCTGAGAGAGCAGTCAAGACCTGGGGCCAAGACCAACGGCGAGACAGAGGTTGCAGACCGGTCCACAGGCAAGGCCGCAAAGGACCAGGCCTCGAGCCTTCAGGGCAGTCGCACTCTTCGCGAAATCACTCTGTCTGAGCCCATCAGATACGCTCAGGGTGACTCAGTCGAGAAGTGGCTGAACAAGCTTCTGTGTCTGGACGCCACCCTTCCCAAGGCCAAGGCCAGCAGCCAGGGATGCCCCGACCCGTCTCAGTGCGAGCTCCTCAAGGTCAACCGCGACACCCTCTTCTCGTTCCACCCCATTCCCGAAAAGTTCTTGCAGCAGATGGTGGCGCTTTACGTTGCCAGCCATTACAAGAACTCACCTGACGACCTTCAACTAATGAGCGACGCCCCCGCCCACGAACTCTATGTGCTTATCGCCCCGACAACAGACGGCAAGCTCCCTGAGCCGTTGTGTGTTATTCAGGTTGCTCTGGAAGGAAAGATCAGCAGGCAGAGCGTCATTAACAGCTTGAGCAGAGGACAAAGGCCTTCTGGTGACTTGATCCCCTGGCTCGTCAGTCAACAGTACCAGGATGACGAGTTCGCCTCTCTTTCCGGTGCCCGTGTCGTCAGGATAGCCACGAACCCCGAGTACGTGTCTATGGGCTACGGCACCAAGGCTCTCCAGCTTCTTACCGATTTCTACGAGCAAAAGTTCACGAACCTCTCGGAGGATGCTGATGTGGGCATGGAGGAGACGTTGACGAGAGTAACCGACGCAGAGCTGGCCAACACTTCTCTGCTCGCGGATGACATCCAAGTCAGAGACATCAAGAAACTGCCGCCCCTGTTTGCCAGATTCTCCGAGATTAGGCCTGCAGCTCTGGACTATGTCGGTGTCAGCTACGGCTTGACGCAACCTCTCCACAAGTTCTGGAAGCGCGCCAACTTTGCCCCTGTCTACCTTAGACAAACCGCCAATGACTTGACTGGCGAGCACACGTGCGTCATGCTCCGGCCTTTGGAGAGCACCGCAGACCAGACATGGCTCGGCGCCTTTGCGAGGGACTTCCAGCGTCGTTTCCAATCTCTGCTGTCCTACCAGTTCAGGGAATTCCAGTCGATCGTCGCGCTCAGCATTGACGAGTCCGCCAATACTGGTGCCAAGCTCGATGGCACTGAGCCCACAGCCCTGACAAAGGTCGAGCTCGACAGACTCTTGACGCCCTTCGACCTGAAGCGTCTCGAGTCGTACGCCAACAACATGCTCGACTACCACGTCATCCTTGACCTTGTTCCCACGCTTGCCGGCCTCTACTTCACCGGCAAGCTCAAGGCCAACATCAAGTTGACGGGTGTGCAG